TATTAAAGAGGGCACATTCTGCGTGGAGCACTGGGTGTTATGCACAAACAATGAATCGTGGAACCCTACATCAAAAACTAATGATGTAATGTATGGTGATTAACATAACATAATAAAAAAAATCTAAAAAACCCAAATAAATAAAAAAAGAACCAAAAAAAAAAGAAATATGTGTTGAATGAATGAAATATTAACCACATTATTTCACCCTCATGGAAACAGAAGTTGAGAGTGGTTATGTGGATTATCCAGTCAGCTAGCTATGGAATTTCAAAAGAAAGATTTAAAGTCGTATTTGCTAGACTTCATATCCAGTGTTTATTTGAATCACTTTGGCTTAGCTGCATTATTTATTAGATAGGTATGGATAAAGTGTTCTGGCATCTTCTGGCATAGGTATTGATTCTTACTGGGTTACTTAGAAGACTTCATGGAGAAGGCACATATAATTTCTACATGGAGTTCTCAATACACACATTCATACATATAATAACAAGTAACTCTTTCTTGCTGGGATCAAGTCCAAAATTCCAAATTTTCATGCAATAAGTACATAATGTATATGAGCATAAGAAAAACATTTTTCTTATTTTTTAAAAAAGTCTTTGCACTATTTTCAGCTGCTGTATTTAATAACAACCCACTGGATTTTTTTTTTATCAGTTTCTACTTTGATATGTCAACATTTGCCTTAAGTTGTAATGTGAGATTGGCTTCATAATCTGGAGTGGTGTGCCTGGGCCATTTCATTCACCAGTATAGTCATTCAACAGCTATTTATCGAGTACATCATGGGCTATGCAATGTTCTAAATGTGGAGGACATGCAGGGAACAACACTGGCCAAGCGTCCACTTGTACATTCTGCCAGGTGGTGGGAGGAGCTATGAAGAAGCTCAAAACAGTGGAAAGGGATAGAAACCCAGGATGTTGGGGGAAGAAAGGATGCTCTTTTATACACAAAGTTAGAGACAGCCTCTCAGCTAAGGTGATATGTGAGCAGACTTGCATGAATTCAGGGCAAAGAATATTCCAGAATGAAAGAACAGGAAGCACAAAGTTCCTGAGACAGGGGAATGCTTGATGTGTTTGAGGGACAGTGAAGAAGTCAGTGAAGCCAAAACAGGAGGAAGTAGAATGATGGCAGGAGGTGAGGTCAGGGGTTCCCAGAGCACGCTTATGAAGTCTGAGACTCAGCTTTTTCATCTTAAAATGTTATGATCATACCTACCTCATTTTGCTGTGAGAACGAAGCAAAACAATACATACAACGCAATTAAAAGTATCTAGCACATGGTAGGTGTTTGTTAAAGCACACCATTGTTATTACCATCACTATTACTGCTATTATTCACCAGTATTTGCTCAGCTGGCAGACACTCTCACCAGGTTAGGTTCTTCCCAGGCTAACTATTCAAAACTGGAAAGAGTCTTCCCAGAAACAAACCATTTGCACTTGCAGAAACAGCAATGATGTCCCTTAGTGAAAGTCTGGCAGCCACAAGAAGCAGCTGAGAAGCTGGCATCCCTCCATGTGAATGAGCAGAGGACAGCCCACCTGAGCCAGGTGGAGCGGAAGAAGAACAAAGCACCCTCTTTGACAGCCCTGGGGCACTGCTGCCTGGGGTTCCACACCTAATAAGCTCTTTTAGGGCCCTCTCTTAGCATCCCAGGAGCAGACTGTTTTCCTTGTGTGTTCTCTGAGGAGCCAAATATGACTCATCTAACTGCACACCTGGGCCTGTGGTTTGGGCCATGGCAGAGGGCAAAGGAGGGGGAGCTACCATAAGGCCCAGGGTGCATGCGGAAGACCTCAGTGTAGGAGAACCCAAGGCTACCTGACTGCAAAATTTTCTTGCGTCCCTACCCTGCCATCAGTAAGGATGAAGGGGGCCCATTTGTCTTTCTTAAACTGCATCCAAACAGTCTCACCTTGTGTGGGGAAATGACTGTACGTGGAGGACTTGGGGCATCAGGCAGGACGGAAGGGTGGATGAGGCGGGCAGGAAAGATAAAGAGGGGTGCCAAAGGGTTGCTATTTGACAACACGTCAAGGCAACATGGAGACAAAGGCGTCTCATTCTGCTTCCGGGTCCCAGGCCCTTACTTTCTGACTGGAACAGGGCAGAGTGACATAATGTATGGCTGTTGCGCAGGACAGTTGACCCCCGCATGCCTCAGGCAGTCTTTCATTAAAGCCGTACACTGCATCAGACCCCCATGACAGTCCTCTGGATTGTCCTCAGCCAGGACTCCTGCTCAGCCCTCCTCTAGTGCCAAGCCAATCCTGACTTCTGGTGGTTTCCTTATAACGCATTTTAACAACTATCTGAGACCTCTTGTGACAGCCTGACACAGGGCTAGGCAGCAGGATGCAAAGGTACAGAAAACTGCACCCCTGTGTTCACACCCCTTAGAGTCCAGCCTCACTCCCCACAAACACCTGCCCCCCTCCCACCAGTTTAACAGACTCCTTATGAAGCTCTGAGTTCAGCCTCAGCGCTACCACGTACCAGCTAAGTTACCTCAGGCAGGAAACGTGTTCTCCTAGAAACTGTTTTCTCATCTGCAAAACAGGAATAATCCCTCCTGTCCCGCCCACCACAGCTTGGTTGTTGTGAATCCTAGAGACAACAACCACAGAAGACTTTCAAGAAATTAAACATTATATAGAACCCAAACATCAGAAAGTGTTTAAAATTCCTTAGCTGGTAGGAATGGCAAGCATGGGAGGCTTCAGACACAATGGGACACCCCCACCAAGTCATCAAAGGTGGGGTTCTAGAAGACTAGAGGGTCTTTTTCAGCTTTATTCCAAAATGTTGGTTAAATTCCTTGGCCACTGAGAAGGGACTAAAAGACCATCCAGAACCAAAGTGAGTAGCACCAAACACCCACACAACTTCCTTCCCATCTCTCCTCAAGTGACTTGTTTTTACTGGAACCTGGTTTCCTCTTCCTGTCTGGGAAACTCTGTTGACAAAGACTAACTCTATAAGGAAAGCAAAAAAGAAAGCTCTTTCCACCAGCCAGCCTTGGAATTTCACCAGGTTATCCTCCTAAACCTGAACCAAAATAGTCCATGACTCATCATGTGTACTTGGGGGACCAGTGGGGAGGGGGGTTTCCCCATTTATCTTCTCAGGAGAACACATCCTGCATGTTTGCCAGTAAAAAAGCAACCTGTAAGGATGCCTCTGTAGGAAAACAAATTCGGAAAAAATCCGTTTGGGGAAAACTTCATCTGCACCACACTTGTTTACAATATCTAAGCTCCCTGCAGGCTGTCCTCAACCATCTTCTTGTCTTGCATTTCAGAGCACTCCCTGCTGCGTCTGCTCATCTGACTCATTTTTTTCCACAAATTTTCTTTCACTGCTTACCATTCCACCCCCAAGGCGACAAATTCCTGGTTGTGCGATCCCAGACACAGGGTTTTCAAGTTTTAGCTTCCTGACCTGTGCTGTGGTTAATAATGGTAGTGATAGCCTACAATGACAGAGCTCTTTGTATCTGCCACCCCGCAAAGAAGTTACAAAGAGGAGCTCTTACCGCCTTCATTTCACAGATGGTGATGACAATCAGGTAGGTAATGCACCCAAGGTAACACACCAGGGGCAGAACCAGAACCAAAATACAGCCAGTCTGGCCCATGGTTTTAACCAATATTCTACACTCACCGACCCAATTCATCAGCATGTTTTGAAGGTTAAAAGAGATAACAGGAAAATGGTAAGCAGTGAATAAATATTGTTATATTATTGGGTGAAAATGTGTATCAAAGCACCTGTTATGGTGCCTAATTCATAATGGGCCTTCAACTTATATTAGTTCCCTTCCCTTTATACATCTTCTTGAAGCAACACCCCTGACCATGAACTTCCCTCAGGCAGCCCAGAATGTGCTGTTTGAAGGTTATTCCTGAGACAGTTATAGCACTCAATAAATTTTTTTCCTTGAAATAGAGTCTTCTGAGTAACTGAATCATTGACAGGAGATCTGCCACTTTCTAGATGGTGCTTTAGCTCAAAGGTACTCAGTGCAACACAGAGTTTTTGTGACAGTTTCTAAGAAACCCTGATTCTTGGTAAGAAAGAAGGGTTGTCATTTTCCATGATGGAACTCCCAACAGAGTAATATTCTTGTCTTTACCCATTGTCCTCTCCTTTATCACTTTATCAAAGATAAAGAAAAGCATTATATAATGATAAAGGGGCCAATTCTCTAAGAAGAAATGACAGTCCTGAATGTGTATGCACCTAACAACAGAAGGCGAAAATTGATACAACTGCAAAGAGAAATAGAAGAATCCACTATTATAGTTGAAGTCTTTAACACCTTTCTATCAGAAATAGATCCAGCAGGCAGAAATCAATGAAGATATAGTTGAACTCAACAGTGCCAACAGTTAATCCTTAAGCTCACATGGAATATTCACCAAAATAGACCACACTCTGGGACCATAAAACACACCTTAACAAAGGTAGTGGAATAGAAATAATACAATATCTGCTCTCAGACCCCAGTGGAATTAAACTAGAAATCAGTAACAAAAATATAGCTGGGAAAATTCCAAAATACTTGGAGATTAAACAATACACTTCTAATAACACATGAGGGTCCTAGCTCTTGAGCTAAGTGAGAGGCACGCTGTGCAGCTGGCCAGGATGTTACAGGCTATTGGAGCTGTGGATGAGAAAGAGGAGCAGGCAGAGGAGGACTGTCCTGAATTCGTCCTCACTGAGATGAAGGAAAGAGAGGAAGAGGAAATGTCCAGTCCTAGTGCTAAGATCCCAGTCACAATTATCACTGGGTATTTAGGTGCTAGGAAGACATTACTTTTGAACTATATCTTGACAGAGCAACATAGTAAAAGAGGAGCAGTTATTTTAAACAAATTTGGGGAAGGAAATACAGTGGGGAAATCCTTAGATGTCAGCCAAAGTGGAGCACTCTACCAAGAAAGATTGGAACTTATAAACGTTTGCCTCTGCTGTTCAGTAAAGGAAGTGGCCTTGGAGCTAATGAGAATTTGATACAGAAGAAGGGAAAATTTGATGATACACCATTAGATACCACTGGATTAGCAGATCCTGGTGCTGTAGCTTCTCTGTTTTGGGTTGATGCTGAATTAGGGATTGATATTTATCTTGCTGGGATCATAACTCTTATGGATTTAAAATATGGATTAAAACATTTAGCAGAAGAAAAACCTGTTGGCCTTATCCATGAGGCTTCTAGGCAAGCTGCTTTGGCAGATATCATCATCATTAATAAAACAGACTGGGTTTCACAAGAGGATTTAAGCAAATTAAGAACAACCATTAGATCAATAAATGGACTGGGAAAATTTTTAAAAACACAAAGATCAAGTGAGCTGATCTCTCTAATGTACTAGATCTTCATGCCTTTGACAGTCTCTCTGGAATACGTTTGCAGAAAAAGCTCCAACACTTACCAACCATGCACCCTCACTCTGATTAGAGCATTATCACAGTCACACATTTAAGTACCAAGAAACATGAAGGAAGAAAGTCTAAATGTATTATTCAGAATCTTCTGTGGGAGAAGAATGTGAGAAACAAGGACAATGACTACATGGGGCTGGTTTTGATCAAAGACAAACCAAAATTAGTGATCCTCCAAGGTGTCCATGAGCTCTGTGACCTGGAGGAGACCAGTGAGCTAGAAAGAAGATGCTGAGACAACACATCGATAGGTTCTTATTGATGGGAATTTAGATGAGGACATCCTTCGGGGCGCCTGGGTGGCTCAGTCGTTAAGCGTCTGCCTTCAGCTCAGGTCATGATCCCGGGGTCCTGGGATCGAGCCCCGCTCCAGGCTCCCAGCTCTGCGGCAAGCCTGCTTCTCCTTCTCTCACTCCCCCTGCTTGTGTTCCCTCTCTCACTGTCTCTCTCTGTCAAAAAAAAAAAAAAAAAAATCTTAGATGAGGACATCCTTCAATAACTACTTATAGCTACCGTGACTGAAACAGAAAAGTGGTGGGCAACACATTTCAAAGAAGATCAAGTTTGCCCATAACACTAGAAACATTTCTTATTGAAAGGATTGGATGATACTGGATGTATTTCAAGCATCTATTCTTTGCATTCCTTCTGTTATGAATTCCAGTGTACTTTAAAATAGTGCTTATTTTGTGGAATACATAAAATATAGTAATTAAGTACTGGAAAACACTTGACATTCATACAATAAAATATAATGTCCTCTGGAAAATAAATAAATACATAAATACATAAATAACACATAGGTCAAAGAAGAAATCTCAAGAGAATTTAAAAATTTTTGAACAAATAAAAATACAACTTATCAAAATTTGTGAGATGCAGAGAAAACAGTGCTTAGAAAAATATTTATAGTACCACATATCTGTATGAGAAAAGAAGAAAGATGCGAAAATCAAGTATCTAAGCTGCCAGCTCAGGAAAACTAGAAAAAGAAGAAAAAGAAAGAGCAGATCCAAACTATGCAGTTTTCAATTCAGAATTCCATCCATTGGCCTCCAAGAGCTCCAACCTCAAGGAGGCTCCTGGGCTCTGTTTCAGTTCCTCCTCCTCTCCTGGAACTTTTCTCCAGGCAGTAATCTGGGGCAAGCATTGATTTCTCTTCTCTCAGGAATCACTGTCCTGAGTAGCCAGCTGCCCTGTATCACATACTGTGACAATTTCACACTTTTGTTTGGTATTTAGTTGTTCAACAAGGGAAGGTAAATCCAGTACCCATTAATGCATTGTGACCAGAGGCAGAAGTCCTATCATTGCTATTTCAACGCCCCTTCCCACTTTCTTTGTCACACAATTAGCAGTTGGGTTGGCCTCACTGCAAACAGGCTAATTTCTGTGTGAGCATCACAACTATGCACCACACAGGGACCCAAGTGTTTTGCCTGCTTGGTTTCTCATGTATCATCAACAATTCACAGTTCACATGTGTGTGGACACGTGTGCCATGGGGGCATCTGCAAGCAATGCACTGGTAGCAAGATAACCTAAACAGGAGGTTACAAAATAGTTTCAGTTTCTGGCCCCGTGTGATCACAGCTTATATATTTAGCCCTAGCTTCTATTACATCAGTGGTTCCATGAGTGTGTGTGTGTGTGTGTGTGTGTGTGTCTGTGGGTGAGTACGGGTGCACACATGTGCATATTGGGGCTTGGAAGTGGGTAGTAGCGAATCAATGCAGAAATTTCTACATAGCCGACCATTTTATAACCTACCTTGTGATGTGTGCCAAATAACTAGAAATATGTTATGACTTTTAACGCTCACAATTACCCTGAAAAATAAATGTGATTCTTAGGCTCATTTTACAGAACTTGAGTTCAATGGTAGGCTCCTCAAGGTCATGCAGTGGATTTCGGATGAAGCCAAATTTTGAACACATAGCCATCTCTCTTCAAAGCCTTGTGTACTTAATCACTATGCTCTTCTGGGCTTTTAATTTTTCACTTCCTGTGCTGCCTAGAAAGATGGTCAACACATGGCTGGGCCTCAATAAACACCTTTTCATTTGCTGAATCTTAAGGTATATTACTTTCAAAACTATTTTTAACGTACTTGTTGTGTCCTCTGTAATTAACTCAAGCAGGGTGCCTAGCACACATTAAATGTTTAATAAATAATTTTTGTCTTAATAAGCAATATTATATCTAAATAGGACATAGTGCTAGAGTGTGACAACTCACATTTAATGATGGATGGCATTTGGTATCCCTATTTACAAGCATTATTTGTCTATTTTCATATAATTTGCTGTTTTGATTTTAGAAAGAAAGATAAAGCATAGCCAGCAGAAAAGAACGACTTCCTCTGACCAGCTCTTTGTTTTTAACCATAAAAGTCTACTTACTCAGCTCAAGAGGCACCAACTTCAATATTACCTATTTCCTTCTTGCACAGATAAATTGTATCACAATTTGGAGAGAACAAACATCCTCCTGAGTGTTGACAAAACTAGAGCAAGGAGAAAGAAGGGAAGTGAAACTTGTTCTTGCTTCTGTTGTGTCCAATTACTTTTATCCTACCAAAAGCATTTGGATTGTTTTATGGAGAAGTAGTCCTGCCCACTCTCAGTCTGATCCTGGAGGTTCACCCCAGCCTCTCTCACATTACCTCCAAGCTCCAGGAGCGGGCATATGACCTCCCCGTGACCTTCTGATCTACCACCCAGCTGTATGGCACAGTGAATGGTTTTGTACCTGATTTGTCCCATTCTATATTTTATCAGCATTAGACCAGTGTGACTTAATTCTGGGACCTCCAGTAAAAAATACAGGGAAAGAAAAGTTTTTCCTTTTCTGAACTGGAACCCTGTAAGACAGAAGCCCGGAGCTGCTGATAGCCATTATGTCACACCAACACAGAGCTGGCCCAAGAGGGTCATAGAAAAAAACTATAATTTCTAATGATAACATGTAGGCCTATAGAAATAGCCTCTCTTGAGCTAAAATCTACTCAAAGTCATACAGGTAGCCTAACAAATTCCTGTTTGGCTCAAGCAAGGGAGTTTCTGTCATTTATAACCCAGGAGTCCTAAGGAGGAAATAAAAAACCTACTGTGCCTCCCTTGCCTGGGAATATCATTTCACTTCATTGTCACAAAATCCTTAGGAAGTATTTATCAGTCTTCTCCATTTGATAAATAGGAAAACTAAGACCCAGAGAAGTTAAGAAACTAGGCACACATGAATAGAAGAACTTGAACTTGGATTTACTGCTACCTTTCCCTGGCTCTAAAACCTAGGTCCTTCCCACTACTGAATACAGCAGGAGCAAACTTCTGTGATAAATCACCCTTTTCTAGCTGGGTGTGTGGAAAGCACACTAAATAAGAGAGACGGATTCCTGGCTTTTTTTCTTTCTTTCTTTTTGGCCTGGCTCACCATACCTTTCATGTGACCTTGAGCACTTTTCCTTTCTAAATCTCAGGGGCTTTTTTGTTTTTATTTTTGTTTTTTGGTCTACAAAACCATGGGGCTTGGATTAGATACTAATGAGCCAAGTTCTTTCCAGCCTAAAAATGTAAAATGTCAATTCTTGACTATTTTCCTGGAATTCCCAAGTTAGGTACTTGAAGAACCAGACACTGAAGCAAGCCAATAGGCAAAGGTTCCCTCCATGAACCTTCATTCCTAATTTGGTCAAATGGATGAGGTATGTGTAATTAAAACTGCAGAAATAACAAGCTTCCGGCCAAGTTCTAGCCTCACTTAACCATACTCTTGGGGGTTGATCTCAGGGGTGGGGGGGGAGCGGATGTTGAACCCAGGGTGGAATTTGGCCTGATATGTGGATTCTTATAATTTCCAAATGATGTCAGTGCACTTATTTGAGAGACTGAGAAAGTGCTGAGTTTAGTCTATTCGACTCCATAAAGAAAAACTGAAAACCGCTGGGCTAGGGCCAGTGTCGACCAATGTTATCAAACCAAAACACTTTTGGCAGGGCAAAGTTATTCAGGGACGATAGTACCCAATTCATGTCGATTTATGGTTGTGGTCTTTCTTTCTGATTAATAGTTTGTTCTAAGATGGGGAATACCAGACCTGTACTTGTCAACTGGCTCAGAGAAAGTGGATCTGCTAAAAAGTTTCATCATCTGTTGATCCCAGAGCCACTGAGGTTATAGAAATTTCAACAGCTGCTAAGAGGGGCCAGAGTTAAGTGCCCATTCAGAAGAGTCAGCAAGCTATGGAAAAAAATCTATTTAATGCAACTCAAAATAGAGTTTTGATTCTAGTCACACAAACAATGGCTTTGCATTCTTCTTTCTTTTTGACTTTGAATTGGCCTCTCTCAGGGGTTCAAGGCAGAGTTTTGATGCTACTAAGATGGCAAATGTGCAGGGGACCCTAGGATTCCAACATTCTACTTTATTACCCGTCCCCTACCCCAGGCAATTCCTTAAGACGATAAAGTATAGTAGGTGAGAGGAGAGTGGGAATGACAGGGTATGTGCAATTAAAGGTGGGTGCCCAGGTTCAAATCTTGCTCACTCACTAGTGAGAAAAGCTTGGGCAATTTTTTCCATCTGGAGAAAAAAAGGAATAAAAATAGTACCTGCTCACAAGGTTATTATGAAAACAAAATGAGTTACTTTATGCAAAACACTCACTGTTTAGCACATAGTATGCACTCAGTAAATGTTAGCTATTAATCCTGAAGATGCTATACACATAGAAAACAAAACCAAATGTATACAAGGAAAAAAAATTTTTTTATTGGGACTAATACCTGGTATATCTGATGTGGTGCTCTGGTTAAGACTAAGGGAAGCCTGCAAATTAGTCTAATTGCCTACAAAGACCCTACCTCCCAACTACAACTCTTGGGTATTATCCCCTTCTGGGTGGGCCATACCACCCAGGGGTCCAGTATTCATGACAACATTTAAGAAAGCATGCAAATAAAGCAACAGACTATAAAGTAGTCAGACATTGAGGGATCTTGGCTTAGCTTAGTGATGTCCCATCAAAGCAGCTGCAAAAAGTAGAAGAGGATAAGAAATGCAACTACTTGACATTTTAAAATATAATGGTCATGTCCATTAGTAAATATAGCCTGGTCTATGTCCTGGAATCTGGCTAATCAGATAAGCGACTCCCCCTCATCTAGAGAATGGGAGAGGGGTGGGAGAGGAACGAGACTAAGATATCCTTCCCCTACCTCCAGTCTTCCCGTTTCAGTGATTCGCAAAATGTGGAGGGTGAATCATCCACATCAGACTCATTTGGGTTGTTTGCAAAAATGCAGATTCCTGGACTCTAGGCAGATACACTGTGATGGTGAATATTATCCATCAACTTGACTGAGCCACGGAATGCACACATATCTGGGTAAGCATTATTTCTGAGTGTGTCTGTGAAGGTGTTTCTAGAAGAGATTAACATTTGAATCAGTGGACTGAGTAAAGCAGTTTGCCCTCCTCAGTGTGTGTGGGCATCATCCAATCCATTGAGGAAATGAATAGAACAAAAAAGCAGAAGGTGGGGGGGGGGATTCTCTTTTGCTGTCTGACTGGA